TTGATGAGGAACCTTGGTCCATTTTTGTTCACCCAGTGTGCCCCTGAAGCAGACTGTATGAGCCAATCAGAACGAAGACTTTTGACCTGTATTTGATACTAACTGGGCGTTGGGAAACAAAACAGAATGGACAAATTAATTCCGAAGGTCAACAGGAAATTAAGTATATGAAAGTTTCCCGTTTATCCAGCAGCTTCAATCTTTAGAGAAATCCTCTTACCGCTCTGCAGACGCTCAGCCAGCTCCTCCTGCTTCATTCTCCTCAGGAAGTGCAGTGTGATCTTCAGAAATGCCTCCCTGCTGCTCCTCCTCTGCTCTTCCTCCTCACCCTCCAACACCTCCTCATCCTCCCTCTGACTCTCTAAGCATTCTGGGTAATCTGAACTCAGAGCCTTCTGGATCTTCTTCAGCTCGTTCTTCACAAAAGTGACAATGTTGTCCTCCAGCAGCTGGAACAGAATATTATATGAAGGACACAATCAAAGTCAAATCATGGAACCAAACATCAGATCCATGTTGGACAGACTGACAATCCACTGGTCTAAAAAGTGCAGCGTGGAGATTATTGTGAACAGAATAGATGGAAAAGTAGTTGTTGTACATGTACAGACCATAAATATGGAGTCCAGGTGTGTTTGATGCTGCTGGGCAGACTGACCACTGGGAACCTCTGAGCTCTCCTGGTGGACTCTGTGGAGGAATCATGAAGAGTTAGCTCACATTATGTTTGTCCACACAGAGACAGACACAAGGTAAAGGTCCATGAATTGGTATTTGGGTGTGAACAGTGAATCAGATGAGCCCCTGTTATGGTAAAGGTTTACTTGTCCTACTGATCCGACTGAGAATCAACAGATCGGTCTGCAGTTGTTGATTCTCAGTGGGATCAAAACCGTGTCAGTTTGGTTTGATACCAAATGTTCTTACCAACCCCTCAATACAGCCCTCCATCCCTTAGTCTATACTGCTGAAGTGTTTGGAGCAAGGCAGCTAGATGCAGTGTCTAATTTTATCAGACTTGTTGATTTGGACTGGAAAAGTAATATGATTAATATTAGGTTTAGTTCACTCTGCTTGTCAATCATTGTATGTATTGTTAAATGCTAATGTGTGTAACTTTTAGACAAGCACCTGTTTTTGTACACATCTTTATAGTTTTAACTGTGTATCTACGGTACATGAGATCTTTGGTGACAAAGAGCAAATAAACCCATAAAGCACCATTTCTGCGTCCTGTAGATCAAGCTGAGGGCAGTTACAGAGGAACAGCACTGAACTGGTAACATGGGGCAAATTCAGTTGCTTTCTATTGAAAAACACTTGGGCAGGCAACACAAAGGTTAGATTTTTGTTTTAATGTTATCAATAGAGGCCACCAAACAAGCTAGGAAGAGACACAAGAGTGTCTGCCTGCAGAATTCACTAAGGAGTCGACTCCAATGTCAGGACAGGAAATACTTCCAAAAAATACAGAACAAAATTGTGCAATTCGACACAAAACAGGAAACACATAGAAAAATCTAATTGTGTAGATTATTTTTTTCCACAAAACTTAATAGAAAACACATTTGTTTCAATTATAGTGAATATTTTGTTACAGCTTACCTCTTTGCTGAAGGTTGTTGTCCTTTAAATTCAATGTAGCGACCCATCGAATTATTGCTCTTTAAGGACGCAGCGCTGGGCTCAGGTCCAGGTCCAGCAGAGTCTGATCCCTGCTGCTGCTCTGGGCTCCAACACTCACTGCTTCAGATTTGAGAATATAAATGTATGTGAAAAATAAAAAAATAAATTAAATAAATGTTTGTTTCACAACACTTAAGGTAAATAAAATACTTACATTTCAATTCAATTCAATTTTATTTATATAGCGCCAAATCACAACAAGTTATCTCACAGCGCTTTTCATAAAAGAGCAGGTCTAGACCGTACTCTGTGATCTAATTTACAGAAGCCCAACAGTTCCCACCAAGAGCAGCACTAGGAGACAGAGGCAAGGAAAAACTTCCTTTTACATTTGTGTCATTTAAGGTGAATATTTTGTTACAGCTTACCTCTTTGCTGAAGGTTGTTGTCTTTTAAATTCAATGTAGCGACCCATTGAATTATCACTCTTGAAGGACACACAGCTGGGCTCAGGTCCAGGTCCAGGTCCAGGTCCAGCAGAGTCTGGTCCCTGCTGCTGCTCTGGGCTACAACACAACACACACAGAGCTTTGAGAGTGAATAATGATGGTGGAGTGATTTGAGTCCTGGACAGTTAGAGATCCTCATCTCACCTCTGGGCTTTGGTCTGGCTGTCATGTTCCCCACACAGAGTGCTTTTAGAGGGAGGGACTCCCTCCTCTCTGTCCTCACACTGACTCATGCTGCTCAACTCACATCCACTTTCACCTGGAGAGGAAACACAAATCATTCATCTGCACATCAACTCAAATCCTCCTTTCCATCATTTCTCCTGGAAAAAGATCAGCTGCTCCTCCACTGATTGGCTGCTAGTTTCTGTTTCATATCAGTGGCAGCTGAATGCAGTCAGACAGCAGCGTGAGGCAGAGGAAGCTGCCATCAGCTGCTGGACTTCTACTATCAGTCCACTAGATGGAGGCATGAAGCTGCAGCCCAGCACACACACCTGCATGGAGGACCGGATACATTCACTGAAGGACTGATGTGGTCTGACAGAATCTCTCTGTCTACAGAGTCCCTGTAGAAAATGACTTGTTGCAACAAGCTACAGCTGATTATTTTACACCAACAGGGATTAACACTCCAAAATAATAACTTTACATCTTTACGTTTCCCGTCTTTGACAACTTTATCATTTATAAAACATTAATATCTTAAAATTCCTTATAATGACCTCCAAAGTTTCCTGTAAAGGACTCTGATCACAGGCGTTATTTACAGCTTCAGATAGAGACAGTGTTCAGCTGGTTCTCTTCTAATGAACTGCTGAGCTAATGTCTTTTGGTCAGACCACAGCAGGTCAGCTGATCATGCAGACATGTGACATTTATCTACAGACAGACAATCTCACATATCTGAATAATAAGATACTGAATATAGATGAATGAAGAACCGGCTGACTGTCTTTGTGAAGAAGCTTCGTCCTGCAGGTAAATCTCCTGACAGCACTCACCGACACCAACAGCTGTTCTCCAGCAGCATTTAGTGGCTCAGACAGCAGGAGAGCAGCGGCTCGTCTCTGCCTCCTTCGTCCTGAGTTTCCAGTGAAGCTCTGAGCTGAGAGTTTGGAGAAATGAAGCGGAGCTGAGCTAACTACAGCTCCTGTTAACGAGGAAAAGCTTTCAAGCTGGTTACATTACCTTCAGCTGGAGGTCCAGGTGGAGAAAATAAGGAACGCTTTCAGACAGAGTGAAAACTTCCAGCCCCAAAACTTTTAGAGAAGTGAAATTTTAAAGTGGAAACAGACAGAGCGGAGTGTGACTGTTAACCATGAATCAATCTGTTCCTGAGCTGTTTGGATAAAGATAAAGAGCTGGAGTGTCAGAAAGCGGAGATCTCTTTAACTGTTACTATGGTAACCTAGTTGGTCAGTTAAACGTTTTATCAAACAAAAAGTGAAAAAGTCCTGTTCAGTGAACATTTTCAGTGTCACGGCAGCTGAGCTGTGGACCCAAATGCAGACACTTGCCAGGTGGATGCAGTTTAAATAATTGTTTAAAACAAAAACTAAACTGAAACTGGCTTCCTAAGAGCACAAGGCAAGAGTCCAAACTAAATAACAATCCAAAGGCAACAAAAATCCAACAAGGAATGAAAAGCAGAACTGAGAAATCCAAACAGAGGCAGGGTGATCCAATAAACGCAGGGACAGGACAGAAGACTCAAACAAGGACTGAACAGAACTGAAGGCTTAAATACACAGGCACACAAGCAGGGAGGGAGTGCAAGGGAGAAAGACATGATGAACTGATTAGGCACAGCAGACACAGTGAAGCAGAAAGGCAAACAGACAGGACCAAACCTAAAGGCAGAAACACAACTGAACATCATTAGGCAAAAAACTAATAACAGGAAACAAGCAGACTGAATACTGAACACAAGAACAGAAACCAACAGACCAGGGCCTCGTTTCAGAAAGCAGGTTCAAAAAAACTGAGTGGAAACCTGAACTCTGAGCTGTCAAACTCCGAGTTTTCCGTTTCAGAACAGGTGTTTAAAATCAGTTCAGTCAGCTCTGAGTATGTTGAGCCTGCTGGAAACAAGTGCGTGGGGATGAAAAAAAGCCTCATCAATGGAGCTCCGATACTACGATTCACCATGGCAACGGGTTAATAAAGGCAGAGCCTCCATTTTAATGGGTGGAGCTGGAAATATGAATGCTGCCAACACACAACATGATTGGCTCTAAAACGTAGAAGTGGAGGATCGATACGTTAACAACTTTACATTTTATACAGCCTTGCTCATTCATCATTTACCAGACTGGAGTTTCATTAATGAATGATAAAGAGCTGGAATTCTCCTCCAGCCTGTTATTCATTTTAAATAACTACAGGCCTGTTTATTCAGCTGTACCTACCTAACCCAGCAGAGAATGAAACACTCACTTTTAAACTACATGTATTAGTTTCAGCTGCACCACAGTCATCCTCACTCAGAAATGTTCACATCATATCCAGCTGATAACGATAGGAATGTTCAATCTGTGCGACTGCAAGATGAAAGGTTACCGTTCTCTGATCAGTTTTATACAGATTAGTTTAATCAGTGATTACTGCAACACTGTAGCCTTAATGTCCACAGAGTCACTGTGTTATAAAGGACAGTGTAACTTATAGATTTTATTCTGTGCTGAGGATAAATTCACGATGTCCAAAGATAACTCTCTGTCCATCGATGACAGATTGACGATAAAAGTATCATGTTCAAGATCATGTTTGGGTAAAAAACAAAAACTAACAGCCTATTTAACCGTGATTTCGATGTTTCCAAAGACGTAACTGCGTTCCAATGTGTGCTTTGATATCGAGAGTCTTTAGTTTAATTAAATTTTTTTATTTTTTTAATGTGGTGTAAGATTTACAACAATCTCTAGCATAATCAGAAATCACAAAAATATTAGTGCTAACAGGAAACGGAGCAGGTAAGATGACAAAAATAACTAAATAAGGGAGAAGAAAATAAATTAAAGTAAAATAACGATAAGAAATGATAATAGGTAAAATAACAGAGGATAATGAAACAGCAAGAAAACAACAGTTAAGGGGCTTCAGTTCATTTTAAGGCATCAATGAAATTAAGAAGTTTTTTAGCTGTTTTCTTCTTCATGAACAAAAGGGACTTGTAGTACAACTCAAATTCTTTCTTGAAGACAGTAATTTACATTTGTGGATGAAAAATTTACCCAAGATAATTAAAGTGTTTAAAAGCAAATCATAGTTTTTATCCAAATGTGATGTTATCTCTAGTGAAACTGAGACCGGAGATGAGGCCACAGCCGATCATACATGACACTAGAATGTGTGACTGTGAGGACAGAAGAAGAACAGATGATCCTTGGTCACAGAATATACAGTCAGAAGGATCAAAGTTAAATCTACGTGAGAGGAGGTCTCTTGAAGGATATATGTCATTAAATACTGAAGTGAAGCTCTTCAGCTTTTGGTGATGAAACCAAAAATGAAAATAAGAGAAGCAGAATTTCAGCTGTGTTGCATTGGGAATAAAGTCATAGTGAAGAGATCACAGAACACTTTGTTTTGCAAAGTCTTACTACAGAACTGGTGACCTGCAATCATCAATGAAGAAGAGGGGGGTTGAACATATGAGGTGGTGAATTTTTTGCCATTAAAAGGAAGGCAGATGGGACGATCTGGATAACCATGTCATAATGTTTACGATTGCACTGGAAATTAAATTTTGTACCAAAGTCTTCCAAGAATAAAACATTTCCATAGTTGTCTAGTAAATGTGTGAAGGAGAAAAGTACAGGAACTTATTTCTAAAGAGAATGAATCTGCACCTCCACATGGGTCCATCATGGGGAGTAAAACTGTGTTTAGTTTCCAATATAACAGAACTTGTGAATGAAATGCAACAGTTTTATAGAAAGTTTTGGAACATCAAAATCAAAATCACAAGTAAATAAAGTAAATTAATACCTCCAATTTCTTTAAACAATTCCCTGGAGACACAATACCAGAAGCTTCTACTGTTTGCTAGAAAGACTCTGAACCATTTATACAGTCAAAGTCTGTGGCTTGTAGCCCACCATCTACATCATCTGTATCACTACAGTCAGTCATGGTACATCTTTTCCAGATGTAATCAAAGTTTAATGTCTTGATGGTTTTGGCCGCTTTGTTGGGGATAGACAGAGAGCAGGCTGGGTAAATACACCTGGAAAGGCTTTTGGTTTTGGTTATAAATGCGATTAAACAGAGAAAGATCTGTATTTAACCATCTGTCTAATCTTGATTTACATTCATCCATTTTGTTCCATTTTAAACTTATACCACCTTAAAAATCACAAGACCACAGGACTGGACCACCTTCAAAAACTATATAACTCTGTTAAACATACTAATACCACCTTAAAACCATGTAACTGTCTTAAACAAACTAATACCACCTTAAAAACATATCAAACATACTAATACCACCTTAGAAAATACATAACTGTCTTAAACTTAAATACCACCTTAAAAGCACTTAACCAGCGACAAACATTAAACCACTTTTGAAGCTTAAAACCCTTTAAAACATGTTGGAGGTCCAACACGGATGCTGGTGATCAGGTCTGGCTCACAGTCAGAGGTGTTGGACGGGGTTCAGGTCTGGCTCTCCCTCCTACACAGAACACAGAGACACTGAGGAACCAGGCCAGAACCCAAATCCAGGATAAAGAGGTTCAGTGAATGTGGTGTTGACGGTGTAGAGGAGGATCAGTGTGTCAGAGGAGACTCTGAAGAAGGACAGAGAGCCAGCAGGCCAGTCCACATACACTGCTACTCTGGAGGAGGAGGAGGAGGAGGAGGAGGAGGAGGAGGAGGAGGAGGAGGAGGAGGAGGAGGTGGGTATTGTTACGTTATTGTGCCTGACAGAGTAACGACTATCATCAGAGCAGCTCAGACTCCAGGACTGATCATTCATTCCAAACACACATTCTTTTTTGGCTCCTCTCCTTCTGATTCCTCTGTAAGTCACTGATATAGAAACTCCTCGTCTCCACTCGACCTCCCAGTAACAGCGACCAGTCAGACCATCTCTACACAGCAGCTGACAGCGGCCAAACCTGTCTGGATGATCAGGATATGACTGATCCTCCTCCACACGCATTGCCTTCCTGTTGTTGTCAGACAGTTTGATCTTTCTGTGTACTGTGTTTGTGTCGATTGTGAGTTCACAGGAGTCTGATGAGAGAACGAGACACAATCCAGCTGCAGTTATTGATCTATCATCTGTTCATTGATTGGCACTTTGAATGAGTGATGTCACAGTCTGAAGATGGTTGAATGTTTTCATGAATCAAATGAAAAAAACACTTACACTTCCTCAGCCCTGGTCTCAACCATCGGACTCCAGCAGGCTCCACCCTGAAAGGAGGAGGAGGGTCAGAGCAGCATCAAACATGGACATTACATTCCTCTCATACACATATACACAATATGTGCACCCCCATCAGTCTCACAGTGATTTGCTCTATTTACCGTGTGTGAGGACTGAGATTAGTTACTATGGTTACATGGACGCTGTTTGACTCTGTCGTACCTCAAGGACAGTACTAAGGATAACATGACTATTGAAAACTATTGAAAGTAAATGCAATGTTTAAAAAAAAAAAAAAAAAAATCAAGTTGCACAATATCATATCGAAAATGTCACGGACAGTGTGCAATATTAGTTGTAATTAATAAACATTTTGTTATGATAAAAAGAGCCAGAGAGACAGAAATCCTCCCTGGAATGATGCTAACTGTCAGTAACACCATGCTGCTCCCCTTCTTCACTGGGACAGGGAGGCTACAGTTATGGGCAGACTGGGCTGCTGCTGACTCATCTGTTAGTCTGCTAAAAGGGGCGGGGACAATGATTTAATATGAATATCTTTCTAAACGTTTCCCTGCACTGATTAAATGTTGATGAAATGTAGGCTAACACTAGTCTGTAGCTAGCTAGCTTGTTTCACTATTACTTTATTATTATATTTGAAATATATTTATACTCAATGATGATGGTTTATATAATGTATAATATAATTTGATATTAGTTTTTACTTGGTTTATGGGGCCCCTGTCAGTCAGGAGCCCTTGGAATTGTCCTAACTTCCCCCCCGATACGGCGCCTCTGGGTAGCGTCAGGCTGTGCTGTTGGATACGGTGTTGGGTACACGGCTATGTGTAGGCAGAGATTCCACACAAAAGGATAAATCAGGCTTGGGATGCCGTTTAATGTTAATAATGTTACCATTTCTCATTTTATGGGCTATTGGGGATTTTAGGAGCAATCCATATATATAAATCTTCTTAAAACACACCTTTGAAATGCTGATTTGGACGTTTGTTACCATGGCAGCAGTAGAAGCTTGAAACTTTTGTGTTAGTCCTAATTTAAAGTATATAATCTATTATCAGCACATGTTAAAATCCTTTCCGTTTCACTTTTAAAATGTTGGAGGCAATTAATAATGACTGAATCAGAATTAACAATACAACCAAAAGTGTATTCATTGGTGAATCAATCCCACTTACAGAGCTGTGTTGGAGGCTTTGGCCTCTGGCAGCGTCTTCAGAAGAGCCTCCTCTGAAACAGAGTATTTCTTTAGTTAAAACAAGTCCAGATCCCTGAACAGCAACAACACTTTAATAAAAAAAAGATGTTCTGTTACGATTAAATTTCCTGACGTGCAAACACTCCTCACAGTTAGGCAAAAGCTCTTAATGTATAAGAACAAGCCTGAACCTTTAACCTTGTCCACACTGTACTCAAAAACAAATCTCTGAAAGCTGTGAGCCTGCCTCTACTTTGAGAATAATGACTTCTCAGTGTGATTGGCTGTGAATCAAAATACAGGAAACTCAAAATCATTGACTTGTAACTAAAGAAGTGTTAATTTGAGAAGGGTCCAACCACCGACCTACATGTAGATGTGGAGGAAATGAGGTTCTTGCAGCTAAAGGTGGCCCAGGATGAATGAAATCAAGAAAGCCATCACATAATAATCTTAAACCTTTTCTCATAATAACGAGATCAGGCCTCAAACTTTCTATTCTTTTGTGAATGCAGAGAGCTTCCGTGCTGAGACCCTGTCTCTTTACAAGTATTCTGTCCCCCGTGTCAACCAGGTCTTCTTACCTGAAAAGCTGCAACAAATAAAAAACAACTGACCTTCTGGTCCTGAGATGGTGTCTGTCTCTGCACCAGGTCGTTCCTGGGTATCTCCTCTAAGACCTTCTTGGTCACCTTCAGAGCCCCATGAGGTTTATAGGTCTTCACCATCTGATCCACAGTGTCCTGCCTGTCTGCCTTCTCCAGCTTGGATGCTTTGACGGGTTGGTATCCTTCCAGGACAGACTGCTTCAGAGACCATTTGAACTTCTTGAATTCCTCGTCACTTAAATCCTCTAGAGTGTTCAAAAGGTCCACGCTCGTCATCGTGGCTCCCTGCTAAAGTCAGGCAGTATTTTAGACCTGAAGGAAACTGGAACACAAATAAATGTTTCAGAGCAGCAGCAGAGGTTCTGATTGGCCGACAAAGGAGCTGTGTTTGAGTCTGGCCAGTCAGAGCTCCTGCTGCTGCTCTCTGGACTCTGTGGTCATTTTAAAGCGGCACACTGCTTACACTTCTTTCAGTTACAGAGAGCCGTTTTTGAGTTAAAGCCCCACTGAATGGAAATGCTAAATGTTAGCAGGATGCTGAAATATGGTCAGATTTCTTCAGAAAGCCACACATAAAGGTGAAGTTTTGTTCTGTTAAAAACTGACACCAGGAGTTAGTTTGTGAAGACTTTCTAGTGAGAACAGGTTGTTTGTTCCACCAGCTTTTAGTTCTGGAAATAAAGGCTGGCTGTTGTCTTTAGCCGTGCAGCACAGCTCACGACACCAAACAATACTGAGCAACACCGCTGAGGCTGATGGGAATGTCCTTACTGTTTTTTTTTTTTAACTATATATTTATTGTTTTGCACATAGAAGATATACAGTCACAGCGACAGTAACATCCACAAACAACAACAATTTCTCCAGTGCCAAGCGTGACGCCATTTCTCGTAACCACATTCCAGGTGTAGGGCCGTCCATACTTTTCCACCTCAGTGCAACCACTCTCCTAGCCTGAAGCGGCCCGGTGCAAAGTGATCAGGGTAAATACCTAATATACAGAGCTTCGCCTCAAGTGGAACCACCATATCAGTCACATATGAAATCATGTAGGTTACATCTTTCCAAAATGACAGGACTTTTTGGCATTCCCACGTGCGGTGCAACAAAGTGCCAACACTATCACTACATTTAGTGCAGCTGTCAGAAATGTTGGGGTTGTAGTGATGTAGTTTTACAGCTGTCACGTTCAAGTCAAGTTCAAAACTTTTTTTAATGCTGTGTTTATAGCCTTTGTTTGTGCCTTTAGACAAGCATTTCCCTTAATATTTATTTGTAAGTCATCTCTCCATGCGCTGAGTCTACAGTGAGAATTGTCCTTTGAACTGGATCACCTCGAGCTTCCTTATTACTGACAATAAACTTCTCTAAAGCTGACATGGGAGGTCAATCCAGGGAGCGAGCCTGCGATTTTATGAAACTCCTGAAATGATGTCTAGGTTAGTCATATTTACAAACCAGTTGATCAAAGGTCATTAGATTCTCATCCATGTAAAGATCAATGATTGTACATAAACCTCTGTTAGCCCATTGTTTTAATCCACCATCTGCTCTACCAGGTCCAAAGTTTTCATTACCCCATATTGGGGCAAACTGAGGGAGTTTGGGTGCATCCCTGTATGACTGAAGAGGTAGACCCGATGTTGTAGTACGTTCAATAGTTAGCCACGCTGGAGCATCAGAAGCAGAGAAATAAAACATTACTGTACGTAGCTGTGCTGCCCAGTAATACCATTATAAATTAGGGACGTGAAGTCCACCGCCATCAGAGGGAAGATACAGTACAGAGAGCAGCAGTCTTGGACGTCTGTTGCTCCATATAAAATTTGAGAACAGGTTTCTGAGTCTACAAAAGAAGGATTGTGAAAGTGGGAGAGGAATAGATTGAAATAAATGGAGGAATGTGGGCAAAATTGAAATTTTAAGAACATTAATGCAGCCCAACATGGAGATGGGCATAGGCAGACTGTACTAAAGGAGGTTGTGTCTCTCACTCTTATTCAAAAGCAGAATGGTGGAGTTCCAGAGTATTTTGGTGTCGCAGCACAGTAGGGATAGAGGACGATAAGATCCCTTCTCTGTAGGTGGTTTTCCAGGCTTTGGGACCAGGGTGATGAGTGCAGTTCATAGGGATGGGGGTAGGTTTCCTGACTCATGCTTCCTCAAACATCTCTAGCAGAGGGGGAAGCAATTTATCTGGGAACAGTTTATAGATTTCTACAGGGATCCCATCCGGACCTGGAGTCTTTCCACCTTTCATCAACCGTCAAACGTTTGTCCAGTTTAGTCTTATCATGATCTGGCGTAGCTGGAATGTCTAGTTTGACCAAAAATTCAGACTGTAACTGCGTGTCATCTGGGTATTCTGATTCATAAAATGTTCTGAAGGAGGAGTTCATTTCAACTGGTCTCCATTTTCTAGCTGAAGTGAATTTATAATTGTATTATTATGTTCACTACTGCTGTATGTCACTACTATGCCACTGTGACTGACAGGAAGATCACCCCTACACACACAGGGTTGGGAGGGTCACTTTAAAAATGTAATCCGGTACAATTACTACTTACTTCTTAAAATATGTAATCAGTAACGTAATCCAAAAACCGTAAAATAAAAGTAATGTAACCTGATTACTTTTAGTTACTTTTGGATTACTTCAATGCTAAACAGGCAAATGAAGACAAGAGTATCAATGATGCACATGACCGAACACAGCCTCATTAGTCGACTCAGCCCCGGGGTGACAAGAGCCAAACACGGCAACAACGCCACCTTCGGACTGTATTTCCAGAGGTCAGACTGGCCTCTGTCGTATCGGAGGCTGTGCTCGGTCCCGGCTCCTGCTGTCAGTCCGCACGACGGGGTGGGGGCGTAAACACATTCAACTACTGGCTACACGCCAATCAGTATCTGCAACAGATCCCTCCCAGCTTTGTGTTTTCAAAGGAAACGGGTAAATAGCAAATAGCACTTCTTGTTCTTAAAGTAATCCTTATGTGTAATCCCGTTTTTACTAAATGTACCTGTAATCTGATTACGTCCTTTGCAGGCAGGCAGAAATTGTTACAACCATCCCCGGTCTCCCCCACTACACAATGCCGTAGGCTTGAATGTCCCTTAAACGTGAATGAAATAATCCATAGTGATGACTTGTTGCTACTGAGTTGGTATTTAGGGCCCGAGCATGAAACATGCGAGGTCAAAAACTCACCAAGC